AAAGTGTGCAAAACGCTTTACACTACTTGTCCGGTCTATGTGTTCTCTGGTTAGTGATAAAAGTCTACATTTAAAATTGGGAGCTCTAGCTCCAAAGGTGTAGGAGATATAATTAAATAACTAGCTTTCGATAAGGTTTTTAATCGATAATGAAATATCGGGAGTAGTTATCGATATATAGAGAAAAACTCTATATGCGCGTGATATACACGGACCTAGGAAAAAAAAATTCAAGTCTCTAGCTCTTATATCTTCTGAGATCGACGCGTTCATACATACGGACGGACGGACGGACGGACAGACAGACAGACGGACAGGGCCAAATCGACTCAGCTCGTTACTCTGATCAAGAATATATATACTTTGTGGAGTCTGCCTCGCCTCCTTCTGCCTGTTACATACATTTTAACAAAACCATTATACCTTGATTTCCCATTTTGAATGGGTTCAGGGTATAAAAAAGTGAGATACTGAACCACTATATATTAAAAACTATAGAAATCCTCATAGTAAAGTAGAAGAAATATAAAACCAAATTGGGAAATTGGTAAATGATAATATATTCGTACCGTCAGTGCACATTGGGCCAACGAGCCGATTTTTCGACGAAAATTAAATTTTTAAAGCTAGGTTCTTGAAATTCGGTAAATATGTTAGTGTCGATACACATTACAATATGTTTATATGTTCAGACCGATCTGACCGGGCTGACCACCCAAAAAGCTTTGTCGAATATATGTCCGCCCACAGGTGGCGTAGCAAACCGCAGAAGTTTATAGCTCCCAAAGTATAATAGCTAGAAGCTACAAATTTGAATAGTTAAGTAACTAGTAACCTCCTCTATCGATGACTCATAAATAGGGGGCGCGGCATACCCTGTAATTTACCGTTAGGTCGTTCTAAGAACTGACCAAAAATGAGGTGTCTACGCTCAGTGGGGACGTGGCATATCGGGAAAAACTGAGTTTTCTACAGTATTAGAGCGAAGCTTAGCTACTGTATTGCTGATGGGATGTGAATGAGTATTCCGCAATCGGTAATGCCCGACTGGAACGTTCTTACTTGTTTAACCCAAATATTCTGCGTACCCTGGACTTTCTTTTCCATAATTTTAGTGAAAATATGTAAAGCCACAATTATTTTATCACGCTCGCAAGTAAACAGAAACAGCTGACTTTGAAGGGCTGCAAAAATTTCACGGATGCATCCAAGAATTAAAAATATTCTATTCAAGTTTTTAAATTAAAATAGATTTACTTTCCATAAAAAATTTGAATTTTCGTCGAAAAATTGGCTTTCTGCCCAATGTGCATTGTCTGAATATAATAGCCCACTTTTATTAGTTCTAAAGAAAGCCCTTCCGGTTTCTAAAGAGAAAGATTGGTGAATAGTAGTTGACTATCGTCAATTTAATAAAAAGCTATAGTGTGATAAGTTTCACTCGCAAGAATAGATGACATTTTGGATCAATTAGGCAGAGCAAAATATTTTTCTTATCTTGATCTCCAAGCTCACACAGTGTCAGCTGGAGTACCCCAAAGCTCAGTGCTTGGGCCTCTCCTATGGAATGTCATGTTCGACGGCGTACTGCGCTTGGAACTACCAGCAGGTGCGCACACCATTCGCTTTGCTGATGATGTAGCTGTCGTCGCCATAGGCAAGGAGCTTAAAAATGCAGAGGATATGTGCAGCGAAAGTATCAATGGCATACGAAACTGGTTGACAAGAGCTGGACTCGAAGTAGTGGCGCACAAAACGGAAGTCATCGTAGTAAGCAGTTGCAAAAAAGTGGAAGCTGCTGATATAAAGATAGGCAACGTCACCATCGCATCAAAGAGGGCGATAAAATATCTTGGCGTCATGTTAGACACCAGATTAATTTTCCGCGAACACTTAGAATATGTGCTCAAGAATTATGCTTAACACGCGGGGACTTAAACAGCAACGACGGCTTCTTCTAATGAGCGTCATTAGGTCTGTCATCTTCCAAGCTGCTCCAATATGGCCAAGAGCGGTGGCAACGCCGAGCTACAGCCGGGGCATTTGTGCATTGAGCGCAATCAGAGTCAGCTGCGCCTTCAGGACTGTCTCCTATGATGCGGCGCTCGTGATAGCCGGCATGGTGCCACTGAAGTATTTGATCGCCGAAGCCGTGGAGCGGAACTCACACGCGCCTGCGTGACGCAACGCTATCAGGACGAACAGCATTGCACGATGGCATAGAAGGTGGAATAAACGGCGATGGCCACACACGCTCATCCCGGAGCCTGAGCAATGGGTAAACCGCAACGGCGAGGCTAATTTCTATCTTTCACAGATCCTCTCGGGACATCTAGAAGAGGCAGTGGGCCGCTCCATCAAAGCGGACAACATAGTCAATGCCATGCTGGAATCGGAGGTAGCTTGGGAACTAATAAGCACCTTCGCGGCCACAGTCATGACGGAGCTCCGCAGAGTCGAGCGAATGAGAAGACGAGCTGTCCCAGGCTAAGGTGGCGCACAGTGCTTGCGAAGCAATTCTTTACGGCCGTCCCGCAAGCATCGCACGCTATCCTAGTCATCACGCATCTTGTAAAATAGCTATATAGCTTTGTTAATAAATGAATACAAAAAAAAAAAAANGAAGAAAGTCCATCCACAAGAAAAGTTATTAAACGATAGGTTCCCATATGTCCCGTATGCGTGCGTGCCTATTTGTGAGTCTGTATGTTAGCATAAAGACGCGAAGAATTATTGAAGTATTGGTTCCTTGAAGGTTTCAAGGGATCTCGCAGTTAAGAAGTCTCGACTAGAGCTTTATTACGTGAAATCTCTCTTTTATTTTTGAAAAACATGCTATTTCATAGTGATGCGACTTCAAATCAATGTTTTAATTGCTTGCTACAAATGCCGATTTGTCACGCCTCCAGTGGGACCCAGTCCTTAGAAGGAGCCTATAGTAATATAATTGTAAAATTTTTATCTTATATTGAGAAAATTACAGGATTTTTTTCGATATGCCACGTTTTAAAGGGGTCATCGGTAAAGGCTATTAGTAACTCAACTACCCAAATTTGAAGCTCTTGCCCTAACACTAGTAAATACGAAGCTTGAATTAGAAGTCAAATCTGAGGTGACCGTCATGACGGTAAGTTATAAATATATTGAGATTGATCAATATTAAATAAATATATAAACCTTCTGGATATCTGCTACGTTGGAAATATTGTATGTTCTACAGCTGTTAAGGGGATACCGTTGTTTCAATCTTATTTGAAGCGATTTAGAAAACTATTGCGATTGCATTTGCCACGTTGCAACGCGTTGATTTATGAAATATTCATGAAGTCCGCCTAAAAGCATGCTACCGTTTTCTTGTTCTTAAGCACTCATAAAATGTGATATAAATGTATGTACAATATGTATTCCAGGTGTCTCGAAGAAACTCAATATTCGAAATTGTTGTATGGAAGATACGAAGAATTATCTATTATTCGGTCAACAATTGCAAGAATCCCATTTTTGTTGCAAAGTGGAAATATATGATTCATACAATAGCGAGCCGATGTGGACGTGGCCCTGTCCGTCTGTCTGTCCGTCCGTCTGTCCGTATGTTTGAACGCGTCGATTTCAGAAGAAGCCAGAGACTTCAATTTTTTTAAATGTTCGTATTTACAGCGCAGATATCGAGTTTATCATTAAAAATCGATAACTGATCCCGATCTTTTTTATCGATAAAAAGCCCTATCGAAAACCAGTTATAAAATTATATCTACTACACCTTTATTGCTAGAGTCTGCAAACTATTTATGTATGCTTATATGCAATTTATGCAATTTCGATTTTTGTTAAAATTTACCCTCCACCTCTAAATTCACCCCCTCAGCCCATGCGTGTTTATGCTTGTGTGTGTATATGTTTGTGTATGTGTGTGTGTATGTTGGTGTGTGTGTATGTATGCCAGTCTGTGCGTGCGTGCGTGTGTGTGTGTGTGTGTGTGTGTGTGCGTGTTTCTTGTGTAAGCTGAAAGACGGGAAAAATTATTGAAATAGCTAATGCTCCAAGGGTTCAGGGGATCTCGTAGTCGAGCAGTCTCGACTAGAGCTTTTTTACTTGTTTAAAAATTCTGTTACTATCTTTACAGACAGCTCTACACACCCGAGTAATAAAACAGCAGTTGTTCATTTTCAATATGCAACATCTAAAATTAATATATTTGTTATGTAATACCATTAAGTGTAATCTAATTGTCATTTAGCAAACGTTTAACAAACAAACGTACAACGCACTCACACAGGTGCAAGACGCAAGCTACAAATACAAGATACAAGTACAAGACAAGCAAATATCTATATATGTAAACATATATATATATATATGTATAACAAGAGGTAAAAGTGATTGCTTTATCAAGTAGTACAAACTAAAACGAGACTTTAACAATGTGCATCTGATGCTCTGCTCAGCGCGTGGGAAAGTGGGGGTATATATGGTGTGGTGGGTGAGGTATGTGGGTCAGAGCAGCTCATCCGATTCGCAAATGCGGTGCACGCTGTGTACATGTAGGTTTTTTATATACAAATATAAGCAACACGACTCGATTCATTTCGATTTTGACTTTGACCGTAAGACCCTTTCAATCCAATCATCAATGTCCGCCAATTTCGCGCAGCTCTCGTTTGCCGAGCGGCAGTGGAGGGCGGAAATTGTTGATGACCTTGCCATTGAACTCATTGCAAGGACACTCCTCCTTGACGTCGTAGGCATTGAGGTTGCGCATGGCATTCAGTTGATCGTCAGACACTTGAATGGGTGTCTTAAACACAATCCAAATGACGCACTCGGAGCAAGGCGGCGTGGTCAGTGAGCCCTCATATGTCCAATACGTATGCACATCGGGCAGCAGCTTGCCAGGATCGCAGCCCTGGGGCAGAGTAACGCGATCGCCCTTGTGCAGAACAAACTGCAACAAGCTGCTCACTTTGTCCAGCTCTGCGTGATGATTGCCCGGCTGTAGGAATACACCCAACACGGCCAGTCCATCAGGTGCGGCAGCTGCCTCGCCGAAGGACTTGTACTTTGTGGTGTTCCAGTGCACGAGATGCAGCTCACCCGAATAGGAGACGCCGTCGACCGTATGCTCCGACCCCTTCGAGTTGGTGCAGCCCCAATGGCAATGAAACTGTTCCAGTTTAAAGATCTGATCGCCCAGCGGTCCTCCAGTTAGCTCAGAATTGGCGCCGTTGACATCCACGCGCCAGCAGTATCCTGCAATGATATATAAGAAGCTAACTAGTACTTCGCTTTCTACCCGATTCAATCTGAAACCCACCTGGATTAACCAGACTCTTTGTGTCCTCCGGCACATATTTCCATTTGAGCGGTGACACCTTCAAATCACTGCCCTTTTTGGCGCTCGAGGGAGTGATGTCCACGGGCGACTGCCGATGTCCCGATGCCTGCGGGTAGTCCTTGGCCCAGTGTGCGGGTCCTGCGGAGGAAACCATGCGTTAATTAACAGCTCCTCTAGTCAAAGGTAATTTAGATTAGTTGCTACCACATGTTACAATCATTTATTAGCTCGACTTAATCATTGTTTAATTACGATCTATTTATAAAGGCTATTGTAGGCGATTTGTCATTGTACCAAAGAGTAATCAAGAAGAATAAGAAATTACTTTTCGCTTAGCTGTCATCAATCAAGTTTAAGGACCCAATATCTTGTCCTTAAGATCACCTTCAAATATTAATATGTTTAAAAAAATTACACCAATATATATCTTCTCTAATATTTACAGTCCTATAAAAAATTATATAAAGAAAAGTTCGAATTAGTTTTCATTAGAGCGTAATACCCAGAGAATATCAAACTAATTTTTAAGATTAATTGGTTTTTGCGTTGACTTCGTGTCGGAATTTTTAAAGCTCATATATTATGTTCAATGTCGAAATTCTTTGACTAAGTGAACTTTTAATATGTCGGAATTTATAGTCTGAGAATTTATTTCCGTCGGTGCACAGTTTATGGAAGAAATGCGATGTCTAAAGCATTTTACTTAGAAAACTTATCTTAATATCTCAGATCCTGTCTAAGACTTGCGCCAAACTTTAATTCCCTTGGTGGAAGGAATTATAAGTCGAAAACCTTTTACGTAGATTTGTCTACATATTTCATTTCTACACTAAAGCAGTTAAAGCTTTTATAGAGCTCTTGTCTTTAAAGATAAGAATATCTATGAAGACAATAACACGTATATTATTTTAAGGCTTGAACATTTTAATATCTAGGGATCTTAATATTTAAACAAATGTTTTCATATGCTTTCTCTTTTGACCTGGCCTTATAGCTTGGCAAACATTGAAAAAATAAATAAAAAATATAGAGAAAAAAATAAAAACAAAGTAAACAATTAAAAAATTTAGTTAAAAAATGTTGAAAATCCTAATAGAAGCAAAATCTATTAGAATTGATGAATTACTTAAAAATCGTAAAGTCGGCGTCAAATATCAACAAACCCGTTTACGCTATTAAATTTTAGCTCGTGCTCGTGTTCGTGTTCGCCTGCTTCTGCTGTTGGCAGATGTTAATTAAAAGTTCATAAAAAGTTAAATAAAGTAAATGTCAACTGCCAGCACAAAATTTGTTGCAAAGTAAAATATGACTAATTTTTACATCCATCTGCTTGACATAGAATTTTTATCTTGACACAGAGCAACCAGCAGAGAAGGCAGTATAAAATGATTATTTACTTTATCATAGTCTTTTATTTTCTTTTATTATTTTGCTATTGTTTGCCGCTGCATTTGCGCTTTTAATTATTGTCGTGTGCTGCAGAAAAACAAACAGCAACATCAACTCAAATATTGACTGGGATGAGGCGTCACGTGCTGCGGCATAGTGAATGACTAGGGCTGGAGCCGCTCAAGTCATGTGATATTTGGAATACGTAACAGGCAAAAGTGGGCGACATGTGGGAGTGGGCGTGGCAACTGATATATCATGCAAATACAAATGTAAAGGTGCACTTATTCTGGCGCTCACCTTATCTAAGATAACTCATTTGTCTTTTTGCCTGTGCCACATGATACATCATTGGGGGCTTAAAGTATTTAATTCTTGTGATTTCCAATAAATCATGTACGTATTTATATCAGTACATTTTCCTTATCGACATACAGGCAGTGTAGAAAAGCCCGACAATGAGCTTCAAATGTGCAAGCAATACGCAATTTCACCATGTGACAGGCAAATTGATAGGGTGTACAAATGCATATATATTGCTATATATAAAAATATGTACATATATAGTACAAACAAAAAATCACGTATACGCCGTGAGAGCCGCTATGCAAATGGAGCTCCCAATATAAAGCCATTTTGAAGTTTGCGATTAGCACATGTGACACTGCATTTTCGAATTTTTGTTTTTCGCGGATCAGTTATGCAAACATCCCAGGTAGATGTGGATGTGATAGTTGTGATATCACTTATATGCCAGCTAGGCTAACGCCTAAGTTTAACTTACTATGCGAAAACGTCGATAGTTTAATTCCGGGCGATCAATTTGGACTTGCCATCGACACTTGACAGCGAAAATAAATAGAGTAAATAGGAGCAAACGTTACTTGTAGCTGTAGAAGTCATGCAGCCATATGACTAAATCAATGATCCTTTGTCTGAACTGAACTCTCCCTTTCCCCTTTTGAAGTTGCTTCGATCACCACGAACTAATAGAGTTTGCATGCATTTGAAACACGTACATACATATATGCAAAACACGTATACGCCGTGTAGACTTTCATCAATCTCGTTCATTCATTGAAGCCCTGTTAATAGCAGATAAAGAAATCAGTATGCCAATAGAATTGTATTTATACATTCACCTAGATATATACGGCCCACAGAAGCTAAAACAGCGATTCGCTGGGATTGCCATTTCGGGTCTGTCTGAAGAGGTGCATCACACACCTGTCGTCTGTATGTATGCGCCATTTGTGGCAGCTGTTATTGAATTTTTGTTGCAATCCTCTTACATATCCCAATTTTAGTGCAAATATCCGGTTGATGATAAATTAACCAAATATTTCGTACGCTTATAAAGCTGTCATTTTACCAGCTGGGTTCTGTTCAGCTGGGTCGCTTTCCATATGCTCTTATTTGCTAACTTCATTTCATATTTTATTTTTTATTGCAGCACATTTTGCGCAATTTCAGGCAACAGCTGCCGCTGCTGCGGCTACTGCCCTGACTGGCAAGCATTATGCACAGTCAATTCTACAGATCCACACGCTAAATCGGATAAGCAACGGAGGAGTAAATGCGAGCGATAGCCACAGAAGTCCCGGCTCAACTACCCTGTAGAGATGATTTGATGCTCTAATTCACTTACCTAAAGGACTAAGGAGTATTTATTGCAAATGTATGTACAGCAATAAGGCTTTCGAAATTGTTTGTCTTAGCTCGATGAGTGCTGCAAAACGAATGAATGAAACGAATCATGCCCTTTGAAAGATTATCAAGTTTTTGCATGTACGCAAACATCCGCTACGGAAATGCACGCGCCTGTAATTTACAATATTGATTGATGTAGAATCTTGTCAGATTAACAACATTTGCAGTATATATATATATATATATATATGACAAAACGATTTTCAAACAGTTGCTAACTTTTACAGAACGAAAAAAGTAACGTAAATTGCGATGAAAATCGAAATGAATATTTAATTGAATTAACAATAAACTGAACGTTCTGAATTCGGCATAGCATATCTAATCTCAATACATATATTTATTAATATGTATTATGTGTATATCTGTATGCAACGATCAGTTGAACAGCCGGACTAAAACTTGTTTTGTGCAACTTTTGCCGGAGAATAAGGAGTTAGGTAACATTTTCATTGGAATTTATACAACATTTCTCAGCTATTTTCTTTCGTTTCAGTTTCAAAACAAACAACTATTTAGTTTGGCAGATGCTCGAATGAACGACTAGGACTGCCCTGTAAACGTATCGCAAGTGAGATCATATTCATTTACTACTTTAATCGACATTGTCGAAAGCGCTGGAATCTTCTTAGTTCAAATAGTGAGTAGAGAGACATCTGTGATGTAATAAGCGCACAAGTAAAAGACCCATAATAAAGACGCGATTTGCTTAGAAAGAACCTATTAACCGATCTGAAAGGATATTGGAAGCTGTTCCAATATATTAACTTAGCATAATTCAAAATAAAGCTACACGCATTTACACTGCTTACAGGGTATTCATTTGCTTCGAGTACAGCGTACATATGTTGTTCACGTTGAACGCAGGAAAGAAAAACTGTTTCTGCTGACGAACAAAAAACGGGTAGAAAAGTCGCAACTATTAACTTAAATTGCACGATCGTATCTCTTAAGTGCACAGTAGGCAGCTCGAACTTATAGAGACAGTCTCATATAGGCAGTTCATCATGAGTTTATTGCGTGTTTGTTGTTATTGTTTATGAGCTAAGGAACTGCTTGCTAATTGGACCCTGGGATAAGCAACGAACTGACCCCGCAGAATGTCGTTGGCAATTCGTGATTCGGCTTGTTCCTGCGTGAGTCAGGCATATAGAACATTGTATATATGTATATATATACATATATTGCCATATTTATATATCAATTTATTAGACATTGTCAGACTGAAATGACCCAACGTTGCTGCTTATATAGCCCGTCTCGCATCCCGTCGATTTGGGAAGCCCCATTAGTGCGGTAAGCCCTGGCACTTGCTTTGAAATTCAACCCTACAACCCTCCAGAAGACAAAACCCCTTTCACAGACCTCTTTGTACTTTTAGTGCAAATTATTTATTTGCATGTGACCAAAGAGCTACAGAAATAGATTTATTGAATGACCATAAAAACAAAATAAAGAAAACCTAAAAACAACTTAGCAACTTAACAGCTTAACAAAACACAATTTTATAGAAGAATAACATGCAAATTTTGAAAATTTATTGAATTGTCACGTACAGCCCGAAATTTCTGGAATGCTCATCTGCAGAGCAAAAGTTTTCCAACTCATAAATTTGATAGCTGTTTTTTAAATGTATGTACATATATATGCATATATACATTATATATTATATATACATGCACATATCACTTATATAGATATTATCTAACACATATGTCTGTGATACATTTTTTATCGCAGCAAGCGCTAATTTTATAGCCTTAGCCAAAAATAATAGTCATATATTCGAAATATATATTAATATATGTGGCGAATATTATCCCAAGCATCATTTTCTGACACCTTCAACATGGAGCTTTAGAAAACTTTGATCAGCTCTCAAGCACTCGGGATGTTTGTTTTCATAATATGTCTATATCTGTTTCTCACAGATCAGCAGCAGTTATTATGCGATTGCTTGAAATGGGCGTGGCAATGTGATATATTCATATTTTTGTCGATTGTTTTGTAATAAATATGTAGTTGTGCATCAATCCGTTTATGGCTTAGAGACGTCAATGGAATATATTACAAAATCGTAATAGAATAAGTCGATATATATATATATTCTAAAATATAAGTAGAAGGTATGTTCCGGTAGCATAGAATACGAAATAAATGTGGTTACATTGCTTGTTTGTTTTTTTCTATTCCGAATTTCAACACAACCAACAATGACAAATTGATAAGAAGAAACCTTTTCCAATTCAAAAGTAGGATATTTTTAGTGGATATTACTAATTTGAGTTCTTCAGTCCATTGAGTCATAATGATAACAAGTAAAGTATATACGTATATTTGTATATGTGTATATTTATACATAGATTAAATTCCATGGGATAGGTAATGAATAGCGTCAAAGGAGATAAGGAGAGTACAAAAGAGAAGTCTCATTTATAACCGATAACTAAGTAATGATTGACGAATCTATACGTCAGTTTAGAGAATGAAAATGAGTATATTGGTTTTGGCTAACTGAGCCAAACACCTCAGTCTGCATAATAGAGAGACCAAGGATTAAACTTGTTAGCAGTCGTATCCTCCATTTCTATCTCATATCGATGCTACCGAAAACTCAACAATATTGATGTTTGATAAGACTTTTGTGCTTTTAAACAGGGTATTATATAGTTGATTATGCCAGACTACAACGTTGTTACCACTTTTTTGTTTTCGGCTATTGTTATTTTTGTTACTCTTATCAATAAAAGGCGATTCGCGTCTTAAATGAAATTGATTTACAAAATATAAACACGCGACTTTTAATCTGCTACTCATCTAGCATAGAGTATAGACAGTTCTGCAGTTTTGACTGGGCCAGAGGTAGATTTGATTAGAAACATCGCGTAATCTGTATATGTATATATATATATATGCATGTCTATGTGTATATTCACATTTATATATATAATTTTTTACTGCTGTATATATAGGAGGTTTAATATATGTAAATAAAACTCGAGTGCTATGCACTTATGTTTAAGCTAAGGACCACTCTAGACTGGAGTGGATCATAAACAGATTCCCGGAGAATGTGTATACATATATAGAGAGATCGGCGGGCAGCGATAACGCAGCATAGTCATATAAAAGACATTGGAAAGTTACCAGAGTCAAATCAATCAACGCAATCAGCGACATTTACCGCAAATCAAAACAAATTGCCGAAATAAAAAATGGATCCCAACTTTTTGGTAGATGCACACATTTTTCTTTATTTTTATTGAACGATAAGTGACTATCATGTGACTATCATGGCAGGGCTTTGATATGGCAGACAGAACGTTTGCCAGGGTTTGGTCATGACGAGTCGCTCATGATGAAACCGGTCTTTAATACGTCCTTAAGAACCGCACATGCACTTGACCAACCGGGCAAAAAGCAAACGAACTGCCTTCAAAAGGCAACACACAACACAAAGAGAAGGCGAAACAGAAACAAACAGCGAGAAACCAGTTGACTGAGGCTAAGCGCATATATTAACGCATCGAATATTAAATACCCTAACTTTGGGTTAAGAGCAAAAAGATCTCAGGTCGATGCAAATAGTCTGTAAAAGTATTGTGGATCTTTGAAGAGATGAATCGATGTGGAGGTTCAGTAATTGCGAAATGAAGTATATACATATGCGATTAGAGCTAAAAAGCTCAACATATCATAAAAAGTATAGAGACGCTTCGATGTTGCGTTTCTTCAGAGGCTAAACAATGCTGTGCGGCAGTTGTATAATAGAATGTGAAATATGTTTAGCTTGTAATCAGTGCACACTTTTGTGTAACTAAAATCGATAATTATCGATTTGGGGCATAGTTCCTTATTCACAAAAATATTTACTTAATACTTGCTTAACAACATTTTGCCATATTTAGCAGTTCATGCGAACTGGGAAATCGATTGAATTCGAAGTTCGACTGGTTCCATGGGAATCACCTATATCCGCGACCTCACCCGCAGCCGCCGCAACTAGCGCACAGTTGCGATCACGAGACGCAGCCCGTGCAAAGCGCCGATTATCGGACATTGTCTACCCAGTCTACAGACCCCGTTTTTGCTGATTTGTTGGAGCTGCGCCGCGTAGACGATTTAATTACGGCTGTCGCATATTTATGAGCAGCCGACGAACCTATGAACGTGCCCAAGTCTCTCGAAGAGTGTGTACATTCGTTGTGTGGAGTGGCAAAGCGATGATGCATGTAATTGAGGCGCAAAGCGTCATTTCTCTGGTTAAACTGAACTTTATTGAATTAACAGCGAATGAACGAGCTGAAGTTTCGGACCAGTCTCAACCGGAATGAACCCAAAAATATACATTTTTTCAGCTGAGCAATCCAATAAAAGCATTTATATATAACATCGTCTTACAAAAGTAGCTTGGACTCGCATTCTATGTCCCTTAGATCGGAAAAACAGCGCATCCATATACATATATACGTATTATTCATGCATCGGACAATTAAATCTAAACAACAAAAAATTGAACAAATTACTTAAGTGTTTGTTATCAGTTAGATAACAGACCTGTATTCAATCAACAGAGTTGTCTCAATTAAACAGACAGCATAACAGCCACGTTCAATAAAACTGCACCCAGATCGCACATGTCGAAATCTCTAATGTTGTTCATACTTCTTTTTCTTATTTAAACTTGAAAACTTTCCCAAAGTCGTTGTTCGCATGCGCAGCGTGCGTCACGTTTGTAAACAAAAAATCTTAGCAAAACAAATAGTCGAAACGAAATTTGTGTGTAATTGCTCGAAGTTTGAATACCCTTACTCGATATGCATACATATTAAGATTCATATAGTAATAGTATAAAATCATATTGTCCAAGCTGTTAGCTTGGTGAATTCATTGCATAAAGAAATATCCATTGATTTATAAAGCTATCATTCAAATTAAGCAACTGTTAAAGGTTTCTCCGTTGTTTATATATGTTAATTAAAGCTTTTTTAATGCTCGACACTAAATTAAAGTAGCGCTTCTAGAGTATATAAGTTGCTTACCATTCTCTTCGGTATAGCCCCAGTGATGGCTCATCGTAGATCTGATCTTTGGTTAAAAGCAGAGTATAGATATGTAGAGAAGAAAACAAGCTTTTGTTCTTGTACTCGCGGTCGCTGTCGCACGTTTGATTCTTGTCGCGAATGCAACGGAACTTTTTATATAGACCCGATAAATGGCGGTAGAGTAACGTTTACAATTTTAGTTACGGTTTGCTAAGGTGAGCGCGWYTGCTTAGCTAGTCTGCTGACTGTATACTGATTGACTCGCGCCAGCGTCGCTGACTTCGAAGCCAAAGAAGAAAAAACGGGAGAAAAACACGCACGGTTAACCTGACTGAAACACAGTGCGAGAGAGAGAGCGGGAGAAAGAGCACGCTGTAAGCAGTGCATGAACGAGCAAGCTAGCGAATGAGCGAGCGAACGAAAGAGAGAAAGCCCAAGGAGAGCGTGACAATTGAGCAATTAAATTAGACCGCTGTGTTTAGCCGCGCTCACGCTGCGCTGGGATTGGGAGAGGAGTGAAGGGAGAGAGGAGAAGGGGCTAAGAACGATGGAAACGTATGCTGACAGTTCAAAATCGGACTGAGCTCCGCGACCTAACATTAATTGCATTGTGGTGCCAATTACGCAATGCTGTTAAGTGGCACTTAAAGCTGAAATGCATGTCGATCAATGGCTGTTAACTTGCTGTTAATTTTAACTGGATTGCTTCTAGTTGGGGTAGGATATTTAATTCATATTTAACTGTAAATTATACTGCGAGCCCACTGTGTCCACACATGCCGAAGAAATTGTCGCCTTAATTTATTGTTGAATTCTAGTACATTCTTTTTGCTGTTGTAGTAAAAGGCGTGAACATGATCGGGTGACACAGACTGTCATAGGACCACTAATAGTCACAATTTAACATAACTGTTTTTTTTTCCATTTTTTTTGTTTTTTCTTTGAAAATTTAACTACAGCTCGCGGATCCATTTGATGTGGGGTGGCTGGCGATGTTTGTTTTTTGGGGGCTTCGTTTGTTGTCCCGCAATTTTCGTCAACAGCAACGTTATTTCATTATAACACATTGCACACTGTCAGTTTAGCGAATTAAACCAAATTTGCAAACGAATTTTCAAATATATGTGTGCTTTAGCTCACATATAATAGAATAATTCCTAATATGATTGTCGCAGTATGGAACCATATCCGCGCCCGTCCCACGCTGCGTATGCGCCATATTTAGGCACAATTTTTTAATTATGAATGTAGACACGGCTTTCATATTTGCACTTTGCACAGTTTTTRTTTTTGTTTTTCATCTGCTCACGTGCACGCCAAGCGGCAAACTTTAAATGCATTTCCGTAATTGCAATTGCACAACAAATATTGCAACAATAACCAGAAAAACAAATGGAACGAAGGGGAATACGGAACAAGCAGAAATTGGTATCCAGATTTTTCAAGGTCAAATACATATATTAAATAGAGAGAGGAGAAAAAATTAGAGAGAGTGTCTCTCACACAGAAAGAAAAGCTAACTCTAATGAATTTTCGATTAAGCCAGAGTCGACACTGATCAGCTTAGCTCGAATGGCTTTTAACTGTTTTATACACCTAGAATTGCTCTTTCACCTATTCGTACAGCTAAAACTTAGTCACACTTCATGTTGATCTTACCAAAGAACACTTTACGTAAATTCAACTCAAGAGCCCAGCATAGGTCGCAATTTGAACTTTTTCATGGTCGCATTTTTTATGTTTCCTAGTTGTTGCTCTGTTTTTGTTTTGTCAACTAATCCATTTGCTTGATAATGAAATCAAAACACAGACTGCTGCTTTATTCGCCTAACCAATTTACCGCACTACTGTCCTTTTTTATTTATTTGACTTCTAACTAAACACGGCTACAGCTGTCATTGTTGTTGGTGACTTTTCAGAGCAACTAAGTTTTTATCTCTTAAATCTTTTATCTACCAGCTATCATAGAGTAGCACTTGACGCAGCTTGAGCAAATAATACTGCGATAATATAACATAAATGAGAACTTAATAAATTTTCTTAATTTACCCAGAGCTTATGCTACTGAAAGGTGAAATCTTGTACGCAAGATTAAACTAATTTTATAATGTACAAAAATGTAGTATACATGTGTCTGTACTATCTATTTATCTGTCTTGTCAATACCTATCAATTTACAGTTGTTTTTAATTTTGTTTATCATTAAATTAGGCGTTTCAAAAATAAGCGTTCGTTTGCAATTAACACTTATCGAGATCTTCTGATCTCAATAGATTCAAGTTCGTTCGAGGCGTCACATCGGCACATCAGCACACTGAGTGAGTTAGCCCGATTCAGTTTCCATCGAAATTGAGTTATAAACAAGATTCATTAGCATATCCCTTCGAATTTGTAAATCACACACTGGAAATATATTTGTTGTCCAGTCTCCTTCTTATACTCGAAACTTTCCTTTGCACGCTTCTCTCTGCTGTCTCGGACATTTAGCGAAAAGCAAATTCAATTTGCAAGGAACGTCAAATATTATTTGAGTTTGCGGCACGTGAGCAAATCTTCTGTTTGCCAGCAATTTAAAAAGCTGTTTATCAAAATCATTTCTAGCCATGCATCGTACGATCCCAGAGAGCTATTAAAACAAATAGCACTTTGTATACATACACATGTATATACATATATACATGCACGGTCGTTTCTTCATTTCATAAATGAAATCAATTTTTTATTAGTCTTTCAAAAATAAATTTTGGATTAAAGTTTATTGCGCTGATTTATTAATCAAATTCTTTCCAAGTGCCAAAGTCTTGCGATCTGCTGATTCAAAATATATATTTCTTTCTTTTCTTTTTTTATAATTTTAAGAATATTATTTATTTCGACATACATATACACATCTGCTTATTATAATGAATGCGACGCACACACATGCGCATCATAAAAATGCCATAAATGGATGCCAAAGCATTTGCAAATATAGTTAAACAAATTATCGATCGTAGCAACATAAAATGCTCGACTAATATATACTCAGTATTTGTTAAAATCGATGAAATTATATATGTATGTGTATATATATGATATGTTAGATATGAGTTTACCACCTGTGATCAGAAGTGATAATTGCAAAACTTACTTCCATCCAGATTAGATATATCAAGAAGAATGTCAACATGTGTATGGAATGGTTATAGAACAACAGTCCAGTTGAATCTTTAACTCTTAAAATGGTCAGAGATTAACAGTCCAGCTGAATATTTAAAGCATTTTCAATTAAATTTAACTCAATTTGACTGTAATACATTTAAAAAATAAACACATGTAGTCTTCGAATCGTCACAAATTAACAATTAAAATCTTTGGAGTTTCATCACACGTGCATGTTTTAGGACGCGCCGTTTCACCAAACACAGAACTCGAATATATATTTGTTGTTTACCATAAACAAAACTTTTATATAAGTTGTATGAGTGGCCCATCAACTACTCCTCTTTTCCTGTTCTCTCTGGCAAAAATGTAGAACGTCACCTTTAATGTATTTTGTATTATCGCGTCGAAAGATTGTAAAAAACTTTTTATTTTTGTATCATTTTTGAAGGCATATTTCTTAAATTTTATTTAATTATTGTTCTACGTTAGGGACTTTTCAGCCCAAGTGTAAAGACCCTCATATATATACATATATATAGATATATATATAGTTGTTAATATATATACATGTTATATGAGAGACGAACTTAAAACTTAAAAGCTAAATAATCAAAAATTATTTGAAATGTACAAATATTCCGCTATTAGGGACTAACAGATTCTGAGCAGCCCAGTTTATGCGAACTGTAGCTGTAATAAAGAACTGTTGCTTAACAGATTTGCCGCTAAGCACGCAATAAAATTTTATTATTCGATCGAGTCCCTTAACAGTGCACTATGGTCAAAAAGTAAAATTTTCTGACATAAAGGAAAGGAAACCAAATTCAGCAGCTTAAAACCAACCTTTGGTTATTGATATGTAACCATAAATGTAATGTAATTTCGCAATTGTTGTGTGGGTGATTGAAAAGAGATACAAAACATCAATGCTCAATACTATTATCCTGTTGTAAGTTGGTAAATGTGTAATTGTTGTTAATTTAGGAAATACATTCGCGTTTCGTGGAGTATTAATTGTTGTGAGTACGCTACAGCACTTAACTACAAATTTTATTTTCTGCGTAAAAGTGTGTTGTCCTGTTTACTCCATTACGAATAAATTTTCATGTTGCAGCCGAATTTGAGTTTGCCATTTATAGTTGCTGGAGAAGTCGACATTGGAGAAAATTAATAAAAATAATCCCAGGGTGACACAGTTTGATCATTTGAAAGAAAATATTATAATTTCATCACGCACATTATGAAGTATTTGACAAAGTGGCTCTCAAGGTGCGTTTTGCGGATGGTTGTTGTTATTTTTGTCGATCGGGGGGATATATCCCTCTCCATCTATAATGGACTGATCGGAAGGAGACTGAAAAGAAAATTAGTATCTGTCCTTGCATCACAAACAAACTATTCAACGCATTATTTATTACATGCCGCATCAGTTTCTGTGCACAAAACCGAAAAAGATGATTTGATGAAGGTATTAAAAGCTACTGGGGAAGTTAAACAAAAAACTTAGCTTGACTTAGCAAATCATTGATATGCAATGATCTACCAACGATCTACCAATGATAGGCTATTTGAAAAAGCTGTTGTTATTGTCGCCTTAAATAAGAAAGAGTTATTTTTGTATAGGTATTGGAAGAAGGGGTGTCGGCGTGGCCCGAATGTGCTAGAATAAGTTTGAATATGTGTGGGCACACGTATGGGTGAACTGTTATAGCTGCTGCACATGCGTTTCTTAATTGACCAAGCATTTTGTTATTTTTTAACGTCGATTGACTTAACGGAATTTAATGAAACTTTCAGCTTATGATCTATATATTCTATTAAATATTTGACAAATAAAAAAAATGAAAATTCATTCACAATTGGCTATACTGGCATCTAACTTGACCATAAATGTTTCTAATCGATAAAAACATAACGGGATGATTTATCGATTTTTGAAGATAAACTCAACATCCGCAGTATACATATACGGTCATTTAAAAGAAACAAAATTCAAGTCTCTAGCTCTTATATCTTCTGAAATCGACGCGTTCAAACACACGGAC